ATCAAATCATATTCTGTCCTGCCGGCCAGTTTTATTACTAGACCACCATCAATCTTACCCCTAACACGACATTTGTTTATGAATAGATGGGAAGGGCTAATGGTTTCATGAACCAGCCATGAAATGAGTAGAGAAAAAAGAAGGCTCTGAAACACCAGGCAGGACCCAGTGGTCCACTCAAAAGCAAAAGGGGCCCCTCTCCTAGAGATCTAAGATGTGAGATGCGGGTAGAAAAAAACTGTCATTACAACCCTGCTTGCTTCTAGTAACACTAACAGCCTGGGAGAAAACGGATTTGGTTGCCTAAGGCTTGGATAAAGTATGGATGCCTCTTGTCCCTCCTGGGCTGTCAGACCAGGCTGCCTGAACATGCATAGTCAGGGTCTCTCCACTTTTACACCATTAAGAACAAAACTAATGGCTTTCCACCCTAAAACCCAAGACTCCCCCGGCCCCCAAGTGAACAGGGTGAAAGAGAAAAAGTGTCATGACTTTCTTCACCTATCAAAGTTAGGGAGAGCCCAAAAGGGCTATAAGGCACTCTTGTTTCCTGACCCTTGTTTCTGACCCGACAGGAAACAGCCAGGAGCTTACAGGCAACCAGTACAATTGAGCCTTATTCTTCTGCAAACATCGATTATTAATGACACAAACTGTGTGGAATGATAGATTGTAAAATGCATGCTTGTTTGCATGCAGCCTGGTGAAAAAGGCCTGCTAACTACATAACCCTACAAAACAGCACGTGTTCCTACCACACATGCATTATGCCAAATGCAAGATTTTATGTGGCATACAGCATGCTAGCATTCGTGCACTCATAGTATATATTGCTAAGAAAATAAACATACCCCACTTGCGCATAAAGGACAAAATACTTATTATCTAAAGTTTTCTACAGAGGCAGTTTACAAAATTAGTTGATTCTTCACTGGACCCTGCCTGCCATCAGCAGACTAATTTCAAAATGAACTGACTAGCAGTTAAAATATCAAGAAATTTTTCTCAGAACATTTTACAGAAAAAAAAATCCTTATAATTAAAAAAAAAAGAGTAAAACTCAAACATGTGAGCCACCAGAGTAAGAAGTTCCAGGTTAAATAATGTCACAAATTGTTTTTTCTTGAATTTGGGTATGAAAATTCAAAAGTTATCGTATTGATGGTAGAAAAATTATACATTTGTGATTTTAAAAAAGAATAAGGAGCAGACCTTCTCTTCTCCCACTCACAATTAGTTTCTAAACTATTATGTAGGCAAATCGTGCAGAAATAAATACAAACACCTTCATAGACACATATGTCTTCCATGCCTAATTTTTCAAATTTCAAATCGAAGAGGATGAAAATAGTTGAGAAACTCTCCTCTGGCACGCAGGGAAACATTCCCAGGAGCTGTGGTGAGGGGCCCCGTTGGTCACAGAAGTCACAACTCCAAACGCACAGCCGGTTTCTCACCAACTGCAGGGTCCAAATAGGAAGGACTACAAGGAGCCCACTCCACACTCTGGCGTGCTGGGGAAGGGCCCTGCTGGGAACCTGCCGGCTCTTCGCTTTGCCAAGCTCTCCCCAGCTGCCGGATTCTGGGCAGGCCAAGTGCACTCCCGGGAGGCGTGCGGGGCGCAGACCTAGCTGTCCCGCAGGCCACCCCTCGGAGCAGCGCGGCCTAGCAAGAAGCCCACCTAGCTCTACGGGGCCAGGCTGGGGTGAGGCCCACGGCCGGCTGAGGCCGCGACATGCCTAGGGCTTCAAAGCCGAGGCCCACGGAGATGGCGAGGGCTGCGGGCACGTGGACCCCAAACACGCGGAGCTGGCCTCACGTACACAGGCCTCTCGCGTTCATTAGGCCCAGCGACTTCCTGCATGGCCACTGCCAAGTGATTTGTGGCGTCTGTAAACCGACCTCACACACTGCACAAGGACGCAGCCCTGCGTTGGAGGCTGCCTGGGGCCACAGCGCTAGCCCGGACAGGTCCGGCACGGCCAGGCCAAGGTTGGCGGATTGGGGACCCTGTAGGACTTGGGAGGTGGTCGTGCAAACCAGTGGTCCCGGGCCCTGTGCTTGCCGAGGCTGTGGGGCGCGCTGTCACCCGTGAGCAATGAAGTGCCTCTGACCTTTCCAACCCGGCTGGGCTCCTAAACACACGTGTGTCTCCAAAACGAAGGTGACGAGCAAGAAGGAAATGGGAGCACTTGTGGGGCCGGGCAACGCCGGTCGGAGTCGCGGGGAGAGGAGGGGAGCGAACTCCTCGGCGGCTGCCCCAGGCGCGATCGCCAGGGCCCCAAGGTGCGTCTTCTGTGCCGGCGACCCTGGTCCTCTGCACTCACACACGCCTGCTCCTGGCCACCTTCCGCTCCGCGCGGTCTTCCCGGCATCCCGACGCAACCTGTGATTAACCCATCAGACCTAACAGAGGTCTCCTTTGACTCTATTTTCTCCCCCAAACAACTTATTTCGGGAGGAGGCCGCGGAGGCGAGGTCGGGAATCCGTGGAGGGAGGCGGCGGGGCGGGGGCGGGCGTGGGAGGAGGAAAGAGCTCCAAACGCAAACAGAAGCCGGGCCCCGAGCCGCAGTGGGTAATTACAGCTAATTAGCTGAAGAGCGTTCCCATCCGGGAGCGGCGTCCCAGAAGCCGGCGTCGGGGTCCGACGCTACTCGCAAGATTTCGGGGCCCCAGCTGGAAAGCCAGCGGTGGGCCACGGGGCTCCACTAGCCACCCCCACTCCCCTCTGCAAAGAGTTGCACCAGATATACCGAGAACTGTACGCTCTCCAGCTACTCAGCCTCGAAGCCTGTCAACCCGACAGGGCTGTAGGGTCACCTGCTGCCGCTCCCCATCCGGGCCTAGACAACCCAGCTCCGGCCGCCAGACCCTTTACACGCAGATCCCAGCTCCACCTTGGGTTCCCCAAAGTGGAGCAAAGCACCAACTCCACTAGATTGGTCGCTGGATTCTTTCCTTTCACCACCCTCCCCATCTTATCCCCCAGGAAAGGGTCATTCTAAGAAACTCCAAGAAGCCCTAGGTCCTAGGTCCTAGGGCTGCGACAGCCCAAAGGAAGATTTAAAAACGCCAGCCAGAGCCGGCCTGACCCGAACGGAGAGACACCGCGCCAGCACCGCTGCGATCTTCCCCGGCTATTAGGTTACGGCTCTGGGGGAGGGGACCGAGCGAATCAGAGGCCACGTAGAGAAATTTTTGACTGAAATTAGAGTGTATTTATTTGCAGCAATCCTTTAACAAAGATCAAATTTTGACAACAAGCAACTGCAATTACTGCTTAAGTGTTGTCTCTAGATAGGAGCGGCAGATAGGAAACTGCATTATCTCGAAAACAAACTGAAAGGCCCTGAATGTCTGTAATCAAATCGCCATCTCCCCAAAGTCTGATTGACAGGGCAGATCACCCTAAGATAATGAATTTATTACATTTCCTGGGTTATTTACAAAAGGGGGGGAGGGGGCAATCCGAATTGCCCCCCTAGGTTTAACTGTAAATTAACAAGAAAAATTGGTTTGAAAAGAAACCACCCCAGACTAAATGTTCTGCCCTTGTCGCCTTCCTTCTTGTTATTACTTTAAATCTTTTTTTTCGAAAATAATTGTTCTACAAACATATCTTCTAAAATAGTTACCCAAAGATTAAATATCCCTTTCCAACCCGCAGTATATTTGTATCTTTTAAAAAAAAATCAACCCTTCTACATAACACACGAAGGATTGTAAATGTGGATGAGTTATATACATATACTTAAAAACTGGTTTATTTTTCCTCTTACAAAAGACTGAAATTAATAGGAAAAAAATCTATTCAGCATCTGGCTCACAGGGATGTATAATATGCAATGCAATTTTATATGGGAAACATGAGCCAAATATCCATCTGTGTATATCTTCAGGCACATTTGCATCTCTCTACACACAGGTATCACTGTAGTAAGACTGCTGCTGATTCATGGGCTTAAGATTTCCAAATCATGTTCTGTCATTACTGAGAAAAAAGTATTTGTTTATATGCCAACTCAAATCTGTTTAGGAAATTATCTTTTTTACTAGCCACAAAGCAAGTTGACTGTACAGTACATTTTGCAGAAGATGCTGCAGGAAAAAAAAAAGATCTAAACAAAAAGAATTTCAGTGAAATTTTACATGGACTACTCAGAGAGTTTCTCTTTTTCAGAGATTTAGGCAGAGAGCAGATAACTCCTAGTGTGTTTTATCTCTGAAATCTTTCTTTATATTAAAGCTGTATTAAAGTATCCAGACATAGGTCTCATTCAAACTGAATGGCAATTTATTAATAAACAAACAATGAATATGTTCAACAAAAAAAGAAAGAAAAGATGATAGAATAAGATTAATACAGTTTCCCTTTTTATAATGAGGAAAAAAAGCACAATTTAAAGTTTCAGACAATTTAACGTCAGGTTTTGGAAACACTTTCTGGCGTTTGGTCCACGACATCCAACTACAAATTAAAAATAAATTACTATGTTGCAATTTACATTTTAAAACAAGTCCATGAATAAAAAGAAAGCGATTTTCATATACGGGGACTTTCTCCCTCCTTTCAACATAGGATAAAATAATATCTTACAGGTGAGAGGCAAGGAAGAAGGCAGGGGAAGGGAGAGGAGAGGAGCAGGAAAGCGAGTCTCTGAAAAGCAAGAAGAAACTTACGTGTTATCTGGAGTAACACTGTCCTTTAATAAACCATGATTTTGCTGTCTCTGTACAAAATAGTTTACGTTTTTGTTTATTTAGATAAGGCAAAGTGGACGTGGCTCTGGATTAATCTTTTAAGAAAATAGTTTTCTTTGAGCTGGTGCTGGTGAGTTGAATTTGGGAAGGGAATCTGTTTGCTGGTGTGCTGAATATCTCTCGTATTTTAAATTGCATATTTTTTAGTTTCGATTTTGCATTGATGGATTCTTTCGGCTGTTCCTGCTTTGGGATTCTATTCAGTTCGACTTTGACGGTGCCAGGACAAGGAAGGGGGTCAAAACTTGCTACAGTCATAGACAAAAGCCCCGGACGTGCGATACAGAGACTGGCTGGCAGGGAAGGCCATCTGACAGCTACTATTCCCGTTCACCGGAGAGTTGTTCAAGCCGATCCGCTGCGACTCAAACATCTCCCGCACCGAGTGGAAGTTCTGCTGCTGCCCGGGGTAGCCCGCGGCCGCCGCTGCCGCCGCCGCGCTCGCCAAATGGCCCAGGTCACCGCCCGCCTGGTTCAGGTACCATGAGGTGAGCCGGCCTTGGTGGGCTGCAGGGTGGTGGCCGGTCTCCTGGCCGCCCCCGCCGTGACTCAGGGACGATGAGCTGCTGCTGGTGACTGGAGGCAAAGAGTAGTCAGGCAGGGAGTCTTCCACTGCTGAGCCGCCCGCGCCCCCGGGTGCGCCCTGCAAGTGGCCGCCGCGTTCGCCGGCGGCATACAGACTCATGGCCTGCAGGTTGCAGTGGTAGGTCCCGGCGCCCCCAGCGCCCCCAGCGCCGCCCCCGCCGCCGCCGCCGCCGCCGCCGCCGGAGCTGCCGGCGCTGGAGCTCTGGCTGCAGGGGGAGCTGTAGAGGGAGCTCTGGCCAGGCGAGTAGGCTCCGAGCGTCAGCGGGGGTGCGATGCCCGCGCGCGAGGACGCGGCCGCCGAGGCCAGGAGGCCAGAGCTGAGCTCCGCGGCTGTGCCCTGAGGCGACCCCCGGAGTGAAGTCATGATGTTGTCCACGCTGAAGCCCTGGCTGTGGTGTGGCGGCGGCGCAGGTTGCGCGGACTGCGGAGGCGGTGCGGGATCCGCACCGTCCAGGCTCAGCGGTCGCGCCGAAGGCAGGCTGCCCGGAGGGCTGCTCCCGCTCGACAGACTGCTGCTGCTGCTGTCGGGGCTCTCAATTTTGGGCACCGTGGCGGCGCTGCCGCTACCCAGGGCGGCGGCCGGGGACAGGGGCTGGGGCGGCGAGGGGCACGTACCGTTCTCAGTCTTGATGTCCTGGATGCGCACCGGCGGCGGCTGCGGTCCGGGCGCGGCGCCGTCTGCCTGCTCCGGCGGCGCGGGCGGAGGCTGGCGGCCTGGCGGCGGTGGCGGAGGCTCTTTGAGGTGCAGCCGGTCCTTCTCCTCCTTGTCCTTCACCGCGTCCTTCTTCTTGAAGCGCCGTCGCCGCCGCAGGAAGCTGCCGTTCTCGAACATGTTGTACGAGTCCGGGTCCAGCGTCCAGTAGCTGCCCTTGCCCGGCTTCTTGTCGTCGCGGGGCACCTTCACGAAGCACTCGTTGAGCGAGAGGTTGTGGCGGATGCTGTTCTGCCAGCCCTGCTTATTGTCCCGGTAGAAGGGGAAACGGTCCATGATGAACTGGTAGATGCCGTTGAGGGTGATCTTCTTGTCCGGGGCATTCTGGATGGCCATGGTGATGAGCGCGATGTAGCTGTAGGGCGGCTTCACCATATCCTTGGGCTGTGGCTGGGGCGTGTAGGGCCCGTAGGCGCGCGCCATGCCGCCCGGGTATTGCTCGGCGTGTGCCGGGTGCGAGTACACGCTCATGGGGGCCGGCATGGCTGTGTAGCCGCCCCCGGCCGCTGCCGCCGCCGCGCGGTAGTAGCTCTGCTCGCCGCCGAGGTAGGGCACCACTCCCAGGGAGTTGGGGCTGGACACGGAGTAGCGCGCCTGCATGGCCCCGGCTCGCCGCCGCCGCCGCCCCGCGCCGCCCGCCGCCCCCCACCCTCGCTCCGGCCCGGCCGCGCCGCGCCGGCCGCTGAGTCCGAGTCCGAGTCCCGGCCCCGCCGAGCTGGTGCTGGCCCGGCGCGCTGCGTCTGGCTCGGCCGCCGCCGCCTCCCAGCGCCTTCGGTTGCGCGGCCTCTCCCTGCGCTCGCTTGGGCTCTTTGGGCGCCTCCGGCCACCTCGGGACCCGCAGCAGCCGCGAGGGAGGGTCGCTGAGAGGGGAGAGGGCCAGACGAGGATGCGGCTAACCGCCTTGGAGGAACTCGCAGAACAACTTCCAGGCACAAACGGAAAAAAAGAGCCAAAAATAAAAAACAAGAAGGCGCCCTTCTCGCCACACTGCCTGCGCCTTCCAGGAGACTGCCCCGAACTGCCGGCGAAGGCGGCCAAATAACCAGGGGCGGGGGGGCAGCGCGCCGGCCGCCTTCCCGGGCCCCGCGTCACCTTTTTTCAGTCTCTCGCGCGCCGGCCGCTTAAGGAAGCATTGGGAAAACTTCTGAACTTTTGAGCATCCGTCACCCAGGCGAGGACTTTTTTACGCAGTTACATTTTTTTCCGGGCAGCGGAGCCCCGCCCCGCTACGGCGGCGGCAGCCAATGGGAGGCGAGAACCGCCTCTGAATGAGCCGAAGGCCGAGCCCGACCGGCCCGCGCCCCGCGGCCGGAGGACCGCGGGGCTGACCACACGCGCGCCGGCCACCCGGGCCTCGCGCCCGTGCCCCTACCCGCGCGGGTCAAGAGACGGTGGTCAGTTCACCCCCCGAGACCCACCAGCTCACCTCTGTCGCCCGGCACTACCTCTCATTCTGGGCCATCCGCACGAATTCTCATTGTTCCCGCAGACTTTATGTCCTTCCTAGGGCCTCAAGCAGACCCTCTTCGGTCCACCACTCCCAAATGCCCCCTGAGTCCTCGGGCCCCGCCTCGCTCTGGCTCTCTCCCATTCCTTCGCTGATACACCTGGCTCCAGCGCCGGGGTTTCCCGGGCCTCTCTGCCCACCTTTTCTCCCCGCACCACCCCCTTTCCTCTCCCTCCAATCGCCACTCTCACTCGGTACCCTGATGTCTCTAATCCCCCCTCCCCCAAACACACACACCTGGAGGTCTCTTCCCGTCCTGAACTCAGTCCCAAAGGGCACTATTTTGAGGGCTCAGTCACATTCCTACAGTTTTCAGTGGGGAAAGTGTTGTCGCCACACCTAGACTCCTTACATTACCTTTCTCTAGTCGAAATAAGGAAAGGGGATACATGTCCCTGCTAGGAGTTTGGGACCTTAGTTTGTCCCCGTAGATTGTGCCCTCTTCACTACAGGTCGCCTTACTCCTAGGTGCCCCAGGGCCCTTGGCTGCCCGAGGGTACCGGCGGCGCGTGCCGTAGGAGCCGGCAACTTCCCCACGTTCTTCCCCACTCGTCCTCCGGGAAGGGTCCCACCAGCTCGCCGCTCACCTAATGTCTCTTCCTACCCCTCACGTTTCTGGTCAAGCTGTGCGCTCAGTGACATCAGCAGGTATGATGACAAAAAGCAAAGAAGCACGTCTAAGAGCTCAATGCTTTCCCCAGGCCAATCTCTATCTCCACACGTCTCCCAGAGATAAAGGATGTGTTTGGGAGATGTTCAGAATCCCACCTGTAGGGCGGCTCAAAGATTCTGGGGGTAGGAGCGCAGAACGCCCCTTCCGCTGCCTCCCCCGCGTCCTGTGCTTACTTACGCCTGGGTGCTTGCAGCCTCTGGGTGACTGGAATGGGATAGGAAGAAAAGAAATGAGAGGGAACGAAAGGAGCAGGAAAGGGACCGGCCTTTCTCCGCCTTGGGTGCGATTCTACTTTTCAGCAACTTTTTAATAAATACCCTTCCGAGGCTGGACAAGAAGTCCTTTACTAGAAGCCAGGAGAAATAGCTAGTTTAAGAGACTGTGAAGAAGTATGCATGGTGCATTTTACACCTCCGCTTCTCCAATTTCTGACGTTCTTTAACTCAAGGACTTGTTGGGAGCCCCCTTTGGCTTCCCAGCTTGAATCCTGCCTTCCTCGCTTTTTTTCCCCAAAAATACTAATTGCAGCTTCGGTTGTTAAATGTTAAGGATGCTAACTTATGTAGCTGGAACAGCTCTGAGTCACTTGAAAACACACACGCACGCGCACACACACACCTAAAATGGATATTTACTTTAAGGGAAGAGAAAGATTTGCTGTTTCGAGAATTCTTTTTTTTTTTTTTTTTTTTTTTTGGCGTGTGAAGGGGTAGGGTTGCCCGGAAGTTAGGAATCCAGAGGCAGTTGCCTCCTGGCCTGCAGTACGTTTAGGTCACTTGAGCTCCCTGTCTGGGGTTATTTGCAGTCCTGGGTTGGAAGAAACACTAAATTTTCTAACAGAATCATCTAGCTGGTGATTCTAAAGACATTTGGGTATGGTAGGGGTGTGGTTAAGCCCCATGATTTGGTGTCTAACCCTATCCCTGAACCTGAAGGTCGTTTCAGCTCCTTTGGAGGAGACTTTAAGTGTGTTGGGGGGTCTGGCTTCAACCTGGAGGACAATAAGAAAGTGAACTCCCTAAACACCTTAGCTTTTGGTGAATTGAGTCTTCGCGTTTGCACTGCTCCTAGTACTTGGAGAGAAACGCAGAGTTTAGCAACTCATCTAGATGTTTTCCGAACGTGGGAAACACCAGCAGGCCGACCGGGTTTTGCAACAGACAGTGTACTCCGCTACCTCCCCCCTCCCTCCAATCCACAGTCTCCAGCTTCCCTCCAGCCCAGGAAAGTGTAAACAGCTTGTTATGTAAATTGCAAATCGAACTGCTCCGACGCTCTCAGTTCCCCGCTTTGGGTACAGAAATTGCCGTTGTGAAATTAGTATCTGGCATGCGGGGTCGGGGTGGAGGGGAGAATGGAGGGGCGCAGTTTTATAAAGATCAACTTTCCACTGGTTTAGCTCTGGATATTCGCCAGGAAAAGATATTTGCATTTGTGTTTTATAAGCTTATTCGGAAGCAAACCTCCAGTAAACGGTTTGATTGTATTTCAAGCACTTTACTTATTTTATTATTGTTACTAGGGTTGTTTGAACATTAAGACGCAGACATGAAGTCTTTTGGGAAACAGGTTAAAGTTTTTATTTTCAGGCTAAGGTTTTTGATACTCTTTTTTCTGTTGCTACAAGGGTAGTTCAGTCGTCCGTCTCCCCTAGAACCCTGACCTAATTGGCAGAAATGCCCCCGCAGAACCCTTTCGGCTTCGAGTACTTGCAGCCTGAAGGCCCCGCAGGCGACAGCAGTAATGGATGTGTAGTGGAAGCGTCGCTCCGCGCACCCCACCTCATTCCCCTCCCTGACCCTCCAGGCCCGGTGGCAATTTTCCGGGCCCACCTGAGGGTTCTTGCTCTGAGTAGGGGGCGTGACGTCACAGCAACCTTTAAAACTAGATCCCTCTGGGCCCCTCCTACGCAAAAGCACCAGGAAGGGGGAGGTGGCACGCATTCCAGGAAATGCCCGGTTAGGTAGGGGACGTGGTATGGAGAGTTGGGGGCGAAGGGACTGTGTTCTAACGCGAGTCACCAGGAGCCAGAATTCCCTCTCCTTTTTCGAGTAAAAGAGCGAGAATCGGGGTTGGGCAGGGACCCCCCGGAGCGCAGAAAATCACTACCAAGGGGTGCAAGCTGGGCCCAAGCTGCTTCCATTGCCCACCCTGGGAGACCCCTTGCTCCTCAGCCTTCCTGCGTCCTCAGTCAGCCCTGGGCTGCTGTGTCGACCGCCGGGGGGGGTGTCCAAGCCTCCACCCCATTTTTAAAAAAGTTTTGCCCACGCTTTTGGATGAGTTTAGCCCTAGAAGTGGAAACGTCGAGGGGCTAGGACGTCCGCGTGCTGGCCCTCGGGGCCCCGAAGGGACAAGAGCTACCAGACATGAGAAAGGCAGGCTGAGATGAGGGAAGGGACGGCTCAACAGGCACCAGGGATTCCTGGGGGCTTTGCACACCCTGGAGAAAGGCTGCACGTTCGCAGCATCTCCCACTTCGCTGTGGGAGACGTGGAGGATTAAGGCAATTATCGCGACAATGCGACTTGAAAACTTCCCACTAGGCTGCCATCAGAAACAACTGGAGCCAAGGCCTTTTGGGGGTGTCTTTGAACTATTTAGATAATTGTCTTAGTTCTCCATTTGGCCTCGTTTGCGAAGCCCAGGGGTAAGGGAGGAGACCCAGGTGTCAATACCCGTTATTCGTTATCAAACCATCAGGCAGGTTGCGTTTGTCATCGGTGTGACTTTTCGGCCGAGGGAGGAGGAGGGGACCAAACGTCTGGGTGGCCGCGCGACTGGGACGGATCGACTTCCTCCTTCTCTCTCGGAGAGTTCGCGGAATAGAGGTTTGGTTAATTCGGTCCCTCTATTTCAGCTTCTCCTTAGTTGAAAAAAAAAATTCCTACAATATAAACGAAAAGAGTTTGTTTTTCGATTGTTTCCAAGGTAAAGTGATCTGTGTTACCTATCTACATGATTGAATTAATCGGATAGTGGCCGTCTTAGACACGGCCCAGTAGGGGAGGTTCGTATGATAGGATAATTTAATGTCATCTTCCCAAACTGTCCCCACCTCCTTATTGAGAGAGGGGGAAGGAAGGGGGGAGGGAGGGAGAAAAAGACGAGAGAGAGAGAGAGAGAGAGAGAGAGAGATATATTAGGAATGAGTTCCTTTTGTCACTCCTTTGTAGGAAAACCTCAGTCTCGGAGGAGAGCGTTTTCGGGGCTCTGAGCTGAGCAGTAAACAGGGGTCACAGGGCTTCTGGCAAGTGAATCTTTAACTTTGATGCCTGGCCACAAAAGGTTCAGGGCATTCTTTGTCTAGGCAGAGGTAGCTGGAGAGTCAAACTGGCACCTTTCATAATCTGAAATTAGAATAAAACTTGTAAAGGAGAGGATGATCAGAAACGAGTTGCTTGTAAGTGGGTCTGCCCGCGC